AAAATACAATAAAACTAAGACATTATTTAATTAGAAAAACTTTTAATTGATTTTATGAGTAATATATATTATAGGCGCTATTGTCTTAAGAACATGCATTTTTCGATGAATAAAAAAAATTTACAAGATTCGTTTCATTTTTTTAAATTTTTTAATTAGAATAATTTATAAAGTTTTAAATCTTTTAAATTTCTCCATTATTTTGTTATGGTCAGGTGATATTGCTATTTAGTAAAAACTATATTTACTAATCATAAATGGAAAAGCTTAGTCTGATGCATCGTACATTTTAAAAAGATTTTTGAAATTTTTTTGTGTGTACAATCTTTTGTAAATACAGATGTCCATACACGACATTATCAGAAAATAAGAGCGATAACTATAGTAAATTTAGTCAAAGTACCTAAAATTCAATACAACATTAGATTACGGAAAATAGTTTTCTAAATTTTTAAGATTATTGGTTAGTTAAAAATTATATGAAAAGGCGCTCACGTTATATTCCTCAAGTAAATTTTACGGATATACTTCCCCCGTCGAAAATAATTTTGTTTGTCAGTCAAGCTCTCAACCTGTCAACATCTTAAAAGTAAAGTAATATTTGTTTCAAATCAGATTAATTAAAGTATAAATCGGGTAATATTACTCAAATAAAGTCCCAGAAAATTATATTTCTAACATTTTTATTAAAGATAATTACACTAATGAATTTTAAAACGAAAGCTCCTTCCAGTTAATTTAAATTAGATTTGAAATAGAGCAATGTATTTTGATTATTGGAAATATTAAATTTAATCTATTAGCTTGAAAGTAAAACAAAAATAAAAGCTTCAAGAAAGATTTTTCATTTTTAAAAATTCTTTTTAAACCTTAGAGAAGATCTGCTAGGAATGGTGAAATATTGTAAGAGCGAGAGCGCAAATTTATTGTAGGTGATTTTTGCGATCAAGGCATTCTATAAATATTTAAGTTCTATTATCACAGTGTGGATTACTTACTAACAGATGTGATGGAAAGAAAAAGAAAAAGACTCTCAAAAAATTCGGCTAAATATAATAAAAAAATCTAAAAGTTCGTTCGTACGCATGTGTAGTCGTAAGAACAAATTTAGACAGACGATGTTCTGAAGTGCCAAACGCGACTCAAATAAACCTTTTACATTTTGTCATACAATTTCCCCAAAATTGTTCTTGATATATACAAATATATTATTTAACCAAACCTGTTTGAATATCTATCTATCTATCTATCTATCTATCTATTGCCTAATGATATATAAATTTTTATATATGAAAAATAGTTTTTGAAAGAAAGATGTATGACAAAGTGGAAAAGTGACACGTTTCGTTCCTTAGGAAGTTATCGGACTCAGATTTGCTTACGTTGATGCGACTACGCATGCGCACGAACGAGAGACGCTGGGAATTTTAAATTTAGGTAAGTTTTTATTTTCAAGAATTTTTTATTATATATATATATATATATATATATATATATATATATATATATATATATATATATATTATTTTTATATGCATAGTGCTTATTGGAAAGTGTTCAATATCAGTGATAGAGCTAACATATTTAGTTTGTCTGATGATTGCAAAAGTGAAACCCAGTGTCATATACTTATATCCATACAACTGAATATATATATATATATATATATATATATATATATATATATATATATATATATATATATATATATATATATATATATATATATATATATATTCAAAATTGCTATATTTATTGGAAAAAAGTGTGCTTAATATCAGGGATGATATTTTTTTGTAGAGAGACACTGGGATATAGGAATCAACACTGCATGGTGACAGTCAGTTTCACGTCTCAAACCAAGGCGAGAAACTGACAGTCTCTATGCAGTTTTTATTCCTATGTACACAATAGTCACACTGTCCTATATTTACCTATTTATCGATCTTCTGTAAAATAACGTCTCACTTTAAAGCAATGTCATATTTGCGGGTTCTTGTTTTCTGTGAATATCTAATGACGACAAAAATAAAAGAAATGTGGAAAAGTAGATAATGGAGCAAAAGGAAAAAAAAAAACAAACAAAAAAACAAAAAACAAAACACACACACAAAGAGAAAAAAAGACAAAAAAATTAAAAAAGATAAAAAAGCAAGAAACACTTCAGTCCCGATCATGAATCCACTAACCGCTTAGGGTCGTAGTCACTACCAACCACATCTACTGCAGTCACAGTCATACTAGTGTTTATTTGGCAAAACAGCCTGGCGGAGCCCAATCTTGTCCGGGTTGGTTTGATTTCGGACTTATCTTTCTTCTTGAGTGGTAAGTGAATGTAATAAACTTCACTTATGTGCCTGTAGCCGTAAATAAAAAGAATAAAAATAATGTGAAAAAGATAGAAATAAAATAAGAATCATTAAAAATAAACAAATTAAACCAAAAGCCAAAAGGCAACAGACAAAAGGCAAAAGCAAAGACAAAGGGCAAAAAGCAAAAATCAAAAGACAAAAGGCAAAGGGCAAAGGCAAAAAGCAAAAGGCAAAAGATAAAGGTCAAAAGACAAACGGCAGAAAGCAAAGGACAAAAGACAAAAGGCAAAAGACGAAAGGCAAAAGTCAAAAGGCAAAAGTCAAAGGACAAAAGACAAAAGACAAAAGGCAAAAGTCAAAAGTCAAAAGTCAAAAGACAAATTGCAAAAGGCAAAAGGTATAAAAGAAAAAGATCAAAATCAACATAAATAAAAAACAAAAAAGCCAAAAAAAAACAAAGAAGCAAAATGCTAGATTTAACAAAAAAAATGTTAAAAGGTAAAAAGATTAAAAAATTATCCAACCAATGTAAAAAGGCAAAAAAGCAACAAAAATAGTCAAAGTAAATAAAAACATAAACAAAAATGAAAAAAAAATATGATGAGTTGCTTTCAAAACCTGACATGTAATAAGTTTCTTTTCTAAATAAACTTATGGCGAGTTTCGAAAGGAATGCAGTCATGACTTCCTCTGTATTTTTTGAGAAATGAATTCATCATTTCAACATTTCCGCTCGTGACAATGCTATACTCACATTGCATAACCAAAAAGGTTGACGCACAACATGCATACAACCACCGATTGCATGGGAATTAAAATCTTCCTGACTAAAAAAAATTAAAAAATGAATCAATCAAAATAAAAAAGGTATTTTATTAGAAGGCAAAGGAAAAATTAACATTTTTAAGTCTAAATCTTCGAGTCAACGAGTGCCTCTTTTTATTTTGAATGTTTGAACTCCTTTCTTAGTTAATATTTTCCCTTGATTTCTCTGATAATTGTTACGCGAAATCTGCGTGAAAATCTTAGTTTTTTAAATCCCAGGTTATCGCTTTTCCCTCATTTCAACTTGTTTTAGCGAAACTTATTTTGGTAGGGCAAAAAAAAACAAACAAAATACCCCACCAAAAAAAACAAAAAACGAAACAAACAAAAAACGAAACAAACAAAAAAAACACATTTTGCATGATTTTATTTTATTTTTTATTTTCTCAGTTTTTAAACTATTACTTTGCATTCCCATTATGTTTCTTTCTTTCTTTCTTTTCCCCTTCTTTCTTTCTTTTTCCTTTCTTTTTTTCCCTTTCTTTCTTTCTTTCTTTTCCTTTCTTTCTTTTTCCTTTCTTTTTTCCCCTTCTTTCTTTCTTTTTCCTTTCTTTTTTCCCTTTCTTTCTTTTTCCTGTCTTTTTTCCCTTTCTTTCTTTCTTTCTTTTCCCCTTCTTTCTTTCTTTTTCCTTTCTTTTTTCCCTTCTTTTTTTTCTTTTTTCTTTTTTTCCTTTCTTTTTTTCCTTTCTTTCTTTCTTTTCCTTTCTTTTTCCCTTTCTTTCTTTCTTTTCCTTTTTTTCCCTTTCTTTTTTCCTTCTTTCTTTTTTCTTTTTTTTTTCCTGTCTTTTTTTCTTTCTTTCTTTTCTTTTTTCTTTCTTTTTCTTTCTTTCCTTTTCTTTCTTTCTTTCTTTCTTTCTTTTTCTTTTTCCTTTCTTTTTTCTTTCTTTCTTTCTTTCTTTTTCTTTTTTTTTCCTTTCTTTCTTTTCTTTTCCTTTCTTTTTCCTTTCTTTCTTTCTTTCTTTCTTTCTTTTTTCCTTTCTTTCTTTCTTTTTTTTTCCTTTCTTTCTTTCTTTCTTTCTTTTCCTGTCTTTTTTCCTTTCTTTCTTTCTTTTCCTTTCTTTTTTCTTTCTTTCTTTCTTTCTTTCCTTTCTTTTTCCTTTCTTTTTTTTCCCTTTCTTTTTTTTTCTTTCTTTCCTTTCTTTTTTTTCTTTCTTTCTTTCTTTTTTCTTTCTTTTTTCTTCCCTTTCTTTCTTTCTTTCTTTCTTTCTTTCTTTTCCTGTCTTTTTCCCTTTCTTTCTTTCTTTTCCTTTCTTTTTTCCTTTCTTTCTTTCTTTTTTTCTTTTTCCCTTTTTTTTCTTTCTTTTTTTTCTTTTTTCCCTTTTCTTTCTTTCTTTTTTCCTTTCTTTTTCTTTCTTTCTTTCTTTCTTTCTTTCTTTCTTTCTTTCTTTCTTCCTTTCTTTCTTTCTTTCTTTCTTTCTTTCTTTTTCCTGTCTTTTTTCCCTTTCTTTCTTTCTTTTTCCTTTCTTTTTTCCCTTTCTTTCTTTCTTTTTTTCCTCTCTTTCTTTTATCTACCTACTATTTTCTTTCTTTCTTTTATCTACCAACTTGTTACATTCTTTCTTTTTTATCTGCTTCTTTCTTTTATTTACTTATATCTTTCTTTTTATCTATCTACTTCTTTGTTTGTTTGTTTATTTCTTTCTCTTCATGTAAAAAATGACTTACAGGATTTTCACAACATCTTATATTTTGTGTCTATACCTTCAGAAATACATTCCTTTTCAAAAATTCTATCTCATGCCTTTGGGACCGGCCACCCAACCAGCTCTCTGCCCTTAGTAAACCAGTCTTCCAATTTCTATCAGAGGCCAACATCTGTGTCGAGTTTACTGATGACCCACGGAGATTAGACGAAAAGTAAGCTCAAAAGTTACAACCCACCCAAGACACTCGCCGTTCGGTAACGTTGAGCAGAAGTCCCTTGGGCGACTTCCGATTAGCTAAACAAGAGCCGTGTGTCTGTCCGCAAGCTGCGAGAGCAGACAAACCAGTCAGTTCGCTTTTTGAAAGGTTATAACATTTGAGAGGCAAACATACGCCAGAACATATGTTCAACTTATAAGACATTTGAAACGTCACATTACACAAGCAAGTCAATTGAAATTCTCTCTCTCTCTCTCCCTCTCTCTCACGCATACACACACACACACACACACACACACACACACACACACACATATATATATATAGAGAGAGAGAGAGAGAGGAGATTGAGGAATCCGTTACATTCACTTACGTGCTAATACTCTTCTCCCGTCCAGCTATGGGTAAATAGAAGTAGAGACTGGGTTTTATTGCCTTGGGTGGCAACTGGTCTAGGAGAAGGACAACTCTGAATTCAAAACCTGATCCTCCAGGTTGGGGGTTGTGCAGTAGACTAACAACCCACTCAATTAAAGACTGTATGGTACAGAAACCGCTCTATGTTTCCTAAGGAATTTAAAGGCATAATAAATATATATATATATATATATATATATATATATATATATATATATATATATATATATACAAACTTCTCTCTCATATATATATATATATGTATATATGTGTAGAGGGAGAAGTGAAGTATAGAGAGAGGAAGAAAGAAGAGAACGGAAGAGCGAAGTCCAGAAGTAGGAGCGAAAGTGAATTTGAAGGTGGTGAGCAAGAGAGAGAGAGAGGAGAGAGAGAGAGAGAGAGAGAGAGAAAGAGAAAGAAGGAAACAGAGACTAAGTGAGTAATGCAAGAAAGATAAATGCCACATATACGGTGATTGAGAAAGCGAATGAGAGAAAGTGAAAGGAAGCGAAAATTAAAGGCGAAGAGAGTTAGTGTTAGAGAAAAGGAAAGAGATAGTAAAAGAAAGTGAAAGATAGAGAGAAAAAGAGGAAGGAAGGGAAAGAGTGAGGGAGAGAGAGAGAGAGAAATGGAGAGACAGGAACACAGAGCGAGAGAGTGATTGAGTGAAAACGAAAGACAGAGAGAATTGCAAGAAAGACAAATGAAAGACATACGGAGATGGGGTAAGCAGAGAGAGAGAGAGAGAGAGAGAGAGGGAGAGAGAGAAAGAGGATGAAGGCGAAAGTGATATATATATATATATATATATATATATATATATATATATATAGAGAGAGAGAGAGAGAGAGAGAGATACAAACTGAGGCAGCGAGACAGAGGGAGAGATAGATAGATAGAAAGACTGAAAGAGAAAGAGAGATACCGAAAGAATGTGATAGACAGTGAAATGGAAAGGAAGTGACAAAGAGAAGTGAAAGAAAGGGAAAAAATGGAAAGTTGGAGACACAGAACGGGAGAAATTTAAATGTCTTTAAAGTGTGTCAGAGAAATGTAAGAGAGAGAAATCAATGACACAGAGACTGAGAGAGAGAGAGAGAGAGAGAGAGAGAGAGAGAGAGAGAGAGAGAGTGAAAGAAAGTGAAAGAGAAACATTGAGAAAAGTATGAGGGAGAAATGAAATAAAAAGAGAGGAGACAAAAACAAAGAGAGACAGAGAAAGAGAAAGTGAAAAAGAGAAAGAGAAAGAGAAACAAGCAAAAGAGATAAATGAAATAGGGAGAGAGAGAGAGAGAGGGAGAGAGAGGGAGAGAGATAGGGGGAGAGCGAGGAAGAGAGAGAGAGAGAGGGGGGTAGCGTACAATAAAATGAATGGGTGGTGAGTTCGAGTCTTTGATGAGATTTCCGTTGTTCACTTTGCGCTAATGCTCGTGGGAAAGGCATGACTCTATATCGCCCTGTGACCTGTGCCATCGCAATATATTTTTCTTATTATTCTCATATCACAAGAGTTGATAAAGAAAAAAAAAACAACTAGATATGTATGCAAAAACAAACCACTCCCTCATAACTAGTTTACCAAGTAAAGCAGAACAAACGTTCCTTTTGTTGCCGGTCTTTACAGGAGGCCATTAAGCTTGCAGGGTGAAAGTAACTGCCATAGTTGTTATACGCAATTTCCTTAGAAATGACTCTCGTCTTATGCAGAATCAACTACCGCCAGTGAACAACAGAACTGGAAAGCAGCTGACAGCAAGACGTCAGATCTTCCAGTCAACTTTGATTTCCGAAGAAAATGCAGAAAAAATGAATAATGGGGGTATTTCCTTAAAAATGGTATCCTCCCCCCGATTGGTAGACCTCTCCCTGTAACAGCTACGGAAGAAACCCTGCCAGCTTCCAAAGAAAAGTCTGTAATGTTATCGGCCCTGACCTGGCATCTCGACATCAATCACTTTCCCATAGCCGTGACGTGGCTACTCGTGTTTTTTTTTCTATAAATATTTCCATGGTAATTGTTCTAATGAGATTTCCTCCTTGGTGCCTCAATTGTATAAATTCAAACGTATCATTTCACTGGTAACCTTGGTTTTAGTGTTGAAATACCGAGATGAAACCGTAAATTCTATTCGAATTGTTTCTTTGCTCGTATTTTTCGTTTTAGGAACTCTCTTCTGGTTCCTTGTTTTCCTGTTACCTACGATCTTCAAAGGTTTAAATGCAGCGCTAATAGACATTTTTTGTCTTCCGGAATCTTGTTCTTTTATTGTATTTTCTCCTTACTAACGTTTACCTATCTTCTTTCACACTTAGTAAGCGCTTGCGTCTCAGTGACATTATCGCCTTGTTTGGGTAGAAACTATATATATATATATATATATATATATTTCATCCCAAATTAAACTACCATTCAATTAAATATTTTAACAACAATAATAATCAAATCCTACCATAAAATATCTCGAGATAAACAGAAATATTACAGAAGCGATGTTAACCCCCAAAATTGCACCTGATGAATGAAGAAGATATGAAACTCGGTGTTGTGCATTCAATATAAGATATTATGTATATTTCTTAATATATTAAGTAGCTCTGTTATTTAACATTGAGCGCTGTTTTTCTTACACTATATATATATATATATATATATATATATATATATATATATATATATATATATATATATATATATATATCAAATATGTGGTGCAGTTTAATTTATATTACAATGAATGATTCATACAAAAAGTAAATTAGTAAAGGTAAGGATATAAAATAGCGAAATCCCTTCGCTAACAAAATTTTAAAGATGCGTTAAACCACTAACCAGTCGATGAATGTTATGATCCTTGTTTATTAAGTTTATAAACTCTATTAGGTCTTCCTTAAATATGCAAGTACTTTCAACAGGTTCTCCGGTCATCATGATGCATGGAAACTATATTCTTTTGGGTAAAATTCAGGTAGCACCCGAGACGAACAAATATAGTGCAAATCAAAATATGCTTTTTTGAAATGTGTTATTGATAACAGATACAAACTTGTGGAGCGTGCAGTCGTAACTCTAACGTTGATTTTTTGAAAATTTAAGTGAGAGCGTTTTTTGCTAAAATGGCAATTTAAGAATATTTTTGTTGTAGGAGTTTATCAGTTAACGTGGCATAAACTATTATATATTACTGTATATATATATATATATATATATATATATATATATATATATATATATATATATATATATATGTGTGTGTGTGTGTGTGTGTGTGTGTGTGTGTGTATTTGTATACGAACACTCGCTGGTACATTTATCTATATTTATCCATTTAGTTATATATATATATATATATATATATATATATATATATATATATATATATATATATATAAAAAAAATAAAGAAAGAACAGTAAGATATAAAATCCGGTGTTCTTATAGATATTTTATTTTTTTTACAAAATAGTGCTCAATGTAAATTTACAGAGCATTAATATTAAAATTAATTGATTTAAAATATGTTTTTTTTCGCTACACAGTTCCAACCATGTTTCAAAAATAGAAGCTAAAAGCCCCGAATTTAATTTTGCAATTAAATTAAAAGCATTAGTTCCATTTCATCTTCAAGCGAATTTTGGAGTAACTTTTGACATAAGGAAAATCTAGACACCCCTTGTTCAATTTAAGTAGAATATTCTGTAACCATGGAAACGTGATTTTAGCTGTGTCTTTAAAACCCGGTAATTTTAAAAGTTACTCCAAAATTCGCTTGAAGATGAAATGGAACTAATGCTTTTAATTTAATTGCAAAATTAAATTCGGGGCTTTTTAGCTTCTATTTTTGAAACATGGTTGAACTGTGTAGCGAAAAAAACATATTTTAAATCAATTAATTTATAATATATATATATATATATATATATATATATATATATATATATAACAATATCTATCTATGCATGTTTGTGTGTATGCGCCTGCATTGTTTGTTTTGTTTTATTTCTAGATTACTCGGATCGTAATACACCTGATGAAGTAAAACGATGTGACCTAATTTCCACTCAAGTACTATGTCGATATACCAATGAGGAACACTCACGAGGAAAAATCCCATGAAAATATCGTCACAGAGATGAGAAAGTGACTGAAGCTAAGATGCAATGTTAAGACCGATAACATTGCAGATCCTTCTTCGAAGTTTATCAAGAATCTCGAAATATGTAGCAGAAACACAAGACCAGATATGGCAGCAATGTTCAATGCACGGGCGAATGGTAGATTTATAAACGTACAAGATTGATTTGGGCGCGAAAAGATTCTCTGGTGCCACTAAACGTATTGGTTATGTAAGCAAAAAAAATCTAATAAAAAGCAAAAAACAAGAAAAGCAAATCAAGAGAGGAAAAAGGGTGAGGGAGGAAACAGTTTTGTTGAAAGACGACCGACCCTCTCTACCCTAACCGTTGAACATGGACTTTTTCATCCGGTCTGTGAAGAACATCTGCTCATAAGAACGGGCACTGCAAAGTGAGTCTCAAGACGAAGCATTTGAGTCGTACTCATTGCCGTATCGAACTACTGTATTTTCTATTACTTTATTATTAATCCATTTCTCCCATGTGAATAAAAGCTGTTCTTTATTCAGCCTTTTGTTCCAGTTTTTCCATAGAGTTTTATGAACCAGAATTACGAGCGTTATACTAAACATAAACTAAGAAGAAATGATTGAAATAAAGAAATATTGTCTGGCATGATAGAGTGAATCTACTTTCCTGGTTGCAGACCTGCAATTAATTCAATATGATTTTTTCCTCGTCATGTCAACGGAAAACGTGAAACCATGAAGGTTCAAGAAGTTGCTTTTCTAGAGGTTAGCATCAGCCCTGCTGATAAAAAAAACAAAATTCGTTCTCCATGATGACGAAAAGAGAGCAGTTTCGTTTTGAATAAATGAGGAATTGCAAAGAACTAAACATTTCATAATCCTGTTTGTCAGAAGCCAATAACATTGAAGAAACTTATTCTGATCATGACGAATTCCCATTGCTTATCCTGTGTTTAATTAATTCTTCTTTCTCTCCTTCCTTGACATTTTTTCCCAGAGAACTGAATGTAACAAAATACATTATTACTGATTATTTCTATTGAAAGTTTTAAGTAAAATACTATCAGAAAAAAAGAAGAGAAGAAAACAAGTTGGTGTTTTGAAAAATGTTTGTTAATCAGCGAATAAGTTGAAATAATGTATTTTTCTTGTTTTTTAAAGGCAGACAGAAGCCATCTGAAATAACATTAAACCATCAATACGATATCTGTTCTCTCCTTATTTCATTTTTTTTTCTTGCTTGCTTGCTTCGTTCACTCTGTTATACATAGCATTCAATATCGCAATTCTCCTGTTAATCACGCACAAAGATAAAAGGCTAAGAAAGGGAAGCAGATGTTGCCCAAGTTTCCATCACAGTGGCATAGCAAGGATACCCAGAGTTCGGGCTCGAGTAAAATTTTGCCACCCACTATCACCACCACCTGAGTTATCAGTGAAATTTTTTATTACAGATTTCGTTGATTAGATAGTGTTGCGACCTCTGAACGACAATAACATATAATTACAAATCACTTTCTACACCTTCTTCTATGTACCATATCCCGTAAGGACGTCGGCGGATCATGGCTCTCCACGAGTTCCTATCCATTGTAGCACTCAGTAAATTTTACCTTTTTATCATTTATCCTAAATCTTTTTCTGTCAACCATTTACACAAGCTCGTTAAACAGGTTATACGCTGCTTTCCGCTATCCCTCTTCAACCATTCATGTGAGTGTCAAATTTGCCAATCCCTCTTTTTTCATTGTGAAATATCAACCGTCTTTTTCTGATGTTATGTATAAGTGTCCTGTTTGTTTTCATTTTCTCTAAAATCCATTCTTCTTCTATGTGTTGCGTCCCTTTAGGAAGTTGGCAATCATGGCTCTCCACAATTTCTTATCCTTTGTAGTTATCAATAAATTTTATCTTTTTATTAACTCTCCTAAAACTTGTTTCGCTATCTATTTACTCAAGCTGGTTAGGTAAGTTAGGCGTTTTTATCCTCTGTCCCGCTTGCCTTCATTACGCCCTGTGAGTATCAAATTTTCCAAGCCCTCTTTTCTCACTATGTGCTCTAGAAATTTCAAGTGTCTCTTCCTGATGTTAAGTGTAAATGTCCTTTTTGGTTCCATTTTCGTTAAAACTTTTGTATGTAATATATTCTTAGCATTTTTCTGTAGAACCACATTTCTGTTGCTTCGGGTCACTTCTTCGTCTGTGGGGAGATTTTTTAGCATTTACTGCAATATAGAAGAACTGATATATTCTGTAACAGTTTAGTACTTTTTTCTTTGTTTCTAATG